TGAGGTGAAGAAGACAGGACGGAGTTAAAGGGTGTTAGTCAGGATTCTCCAGAGACATAGAACCAATGGGAAGTATGTGTGGAGAGAGAGAGAGAGAGAGAGAGAGAGAGACTGATTTTAAGGAATCAGCTTGGGCAATAATTGAGATTTGGTGAATGCATAAGAGGCAGAGTTTGGAACAATACAGTCACAAGTCAAGGAGTTCCAACAGCTACCAGAAGCTGGAAGACATGAGGAAAGAGACTTCTCTAAAGCCTTTGAATGGTTGGCAGCTATGCAGATACCTGGTTTTGGATTCTGGGTTCCAGATCGGTGAAGGAATAAATTTCTGTTACTTGACGCTACCCAATTTGTGCTATTTGTTACAACAACCATAGGAAGCTAATAAAACATCTGAGAATAAATGTAATTGATTTTGCTATTAAGAAGGATGACACTGGTCACTTCAAGAAAATAGTTTCGGGGCGCCTGGGCGGCTCAGTGGGTTAAAGCCTCTGCCTTCGGCTCAGGTCATGATCCCAGAGTCCTGGGACCTAGTCCCTCGTCTGGCTCTCTGCTCAGCGGGGAGCCTGCTTCCTCCTCTCTCTCTGCCCACCTCTCTGCCTACTTGTGATCTCTGTCTGTCAAATAAATAAATAAAAAATCTTAAGGAAAATAGTTTCAATAGTGATATGAGTAAAGCCACATGCAAAGGTGGTAAGGCAGAAGGTCCCAAACTTTCCTAGTTTATGGGGCCTTTTGTATCTCACTAATTTTTTTTTCTAGTGTTCCTAGGTCAAAAGAAATACTGAACAGTTTATTAAGTAGTTAATTCCAAAAAACTTATTCAGTATTTACATACTAGCAACTTAGTAGCTATTTGAAAAAGTAATACATAAAAATTAAAAGAAAAAATATTTGATTTTAGTCTTTTTTTCTTAAAGATTTTATTTATTTATTTGAGGAAGAGAGAGTGAGGGGTAAGCGCAGAGGGAGAGGAGCAGGCTCCCCACTGAGTAGAGAACCCAACAGTGGGCTCCATCCCAGGACCTCAGGATCATCACCTGAGCCAAAGGCAGACACTGAACTAACTGAGCCACCCAGGCATCCCTGATTTTAGTTTTAAATAATCACAATAGCTAATGGGATGTATGTATCTAATACACATTACACAACTTCCTAAAATTTGGAATTAGATTGACACCAGCTGCTGTCATTTCCTGTTCCTCATTGATTTTCAACCCCTAGTTGACTTTTATCACAGCAACTACTGAAAATCCAGCTTTTCAAAGATATGACACTATGTAAAGGAATGTAGAGCTATCTAACGTTAAAACTGAACTATCTCACACTAATATTTTGTGTTGTCAGAAAGATGACAAGCAGTATCGTGTTTCCCTAAAAAAATTTACAGTATCCCCCAGGCATTGTCACTGTGGCTGGAGCACCTCAGCACACTTTGGAAACCATGGATTTAAGGAGTGAGAGGTGAGAAAGTGTAAATAGAAAGTATAGATGACATTTATAAAGCAGTAAAAGTTTAGGGAAGAAAAGTTAGAAGATATTCAGAAGATTAGCAAAGATATTCCAAAGTTAAAGGGAGAACAAAGCAACAAAAATTTTAATTTGTTAATTTTTATTTATTTATTTTTAAAGATTTTATTTATTTATTTGACAGAGAGAGATCACAAGTAGGCAGAGAGGCAGGCAGAGAGAGAGGGGGAAGCAGGCTCCCCGCTGAGCAGAGAGCCCGACGTGGGGCTCGATCCCAGGACCCTGAGACCATGACCTGAGCCGAAGGCAGAGGCTTAACCCATTGAGCCACCCAGGCGCCCCGAAGCAACAAAAATTTTTAAAAAGATGTATTGGACTACATCAAAATTTAAAACTTCTGTGTATCAAAGGACACAATAAACAAAATGAAAAATAAACCTACAGAATGGGGGGTACCTGGGGTGGCTCAGTCCATTAAGCGTCTACTTTCTGCTCAGGTCGTGATCCCAGGGTCCTGGGATCAAGTCCCACATCATTGGGCTCCCTGCTCCACACGGAGCCTACTTCTCCCTCTGCCCTGCCCCTCTCTGTCTCTCATGAATAAATAAATAAAATCTTACAAAAAAAAAAACCTACAAAATGGGAAAAAATGTTTGCAGATCATATATCTAATAAGGGGTTAGTATCTAGAATATATAAAGTACTCCTACAACTCAACAACAGACAGCCTAATTTTAAAATGGACAAAGAACTTGACTAGACATTTCTCCAAAAAGATATACAAATGCCCAACAAATAAATGAAAATGAAAATAAATGAAATAAATGAAAATGAAATGAAAACAAGTGAAAACAGAAAATGACAATTGTTGGCAAGGATGTAGAGAAACTGGAACCCTTGCACACTATTGGTGGGAATATAAAGTGGTGTAACTCTTAGGGAAAATAATATGGAGTTTCCTCAAAAATCCTAAAATAGAATTACCACATAATCTAGCAATTCGACTTCTGGTATATGTCACAAAGAAGTGAAAGCAGGGACTCAAATACATGTTTGCACACCCATGTTCATGGCAGTATTATTTATTATAGCCAAAAAGTAGAAGCAACGCAGATGCCCACTGACAGATGAATAGATACACAAAATATGGTATGTATATACATACAATGAAATATTATCCAAACTTAAAAAGGAAGGAAATTGTACATGCTACAACACGGATAGATCTCGAGGACATTATGCTAAGTGAAATAAGCCAGTCACACACACACAAAAATGCTGTATGATTCTATTTACATGTGGTACTAAGAGTAGTCAAAATCATAAAGACGGAAAGTGGAATGGTGCTTGCCAGGACCTGGGGGCTGTATTGAAAGAGGGCGTTGTTTAATGCACACAGAGGTTCAATTCTGTATAATGAAAAGAGTTCTAGAGACTGGTGGCACAAGGTGAATGTATTGAACACTACTGAAGTGCACACTTAAATAATAGTTAAGATGTTAAGTTTTGTTATATATATTTGATTACAATTTTTTAAAAAGTTAAGGCAAGAAGTCATGACTGCAATCAAATTAAAGATGTAAACAAGAGAGATTAACCAAAGGAACAGGATTTCTACCACAATCTGTTTGCCTACGTAGGTGAAATATATGCAGCGCTAGCACTGTATAGATTCAATATATTATTTCTCCAAAGTTAGTACAATGCCAAACTTTAACCCAATCTGAAATAAACATCATACATAATAAGTTAGTGAAATTTAAGTGTATAGTCAATATGGGCAAGAAATATTTTCATAAAACATCCTATGAAAGCATTAAAATCCATTTTCTTTGCATACACATAGAAATAGTTAAATAGAGGAAATTATTTAAATATATGTAGAAGCACTGATGAGCAGGAAAAATGATCATTTTGGCCATGCTTTTTATAGCTTAGCAAATATTTTCCCTTCTCAGATTCCCTGTTTTGTACAGAGGAACTCTGCTGTTTTGAAAACAATGCACCAAGGTCCTTGCAGTAGTCAGACGACTGTACTGCCAAAAAATAAGCACTTTCTGGTGCATTCCAGGGTGGTCCTATCCAACTTAACTGTACTTTCGTATTCTTTAGCGCTAGTCATACCACGGTCTTTTCTAAGCAGACACATGGGACCATTATTTTTTTTCTTATCAGTACTTTTGAGCAAGGCCAACTTCTTAGGAAATTTTCCCCAGTCACCAAGATGTGAATCAGTCAAAAAATTGAAGATGAACTCTGCAATTTTCTCTCTGCTCAACAAAGCAATCAAAACTGGAAAATCAGAAAGAACTGTTGTGTCAGTAAGAATTTGGTTAAAATGAAACTCTATCTAGATTTCTTAAATCCAAATAAGTTACAAAACTCAGACTAAATTTTACTTGTTCCATAATATGATGATCTGCTTGAGAAACAAAGTTTAGATAACAAGGAACAGAACATAGCAATCTTCTTTTCTGTGATCCTGGCAGAGAAAAACAATTGCAAGCCTGATAGTTAATGGCTAGCAAAAAATACATTGTATTTGAAGAGTGATTTTGTTAACTTGCATTTCTATTATTGGTTGAAGAAAGTATTTGTTGATAAGCAGATTGTAATTTTGTATATTCGTGAGTTCAAGTCCCTAAAAACAAAAGATCCAGTTTTCTACCTAGGGAACTATAATCTAGGGGTGGTAGAAGAGTAGCACAAAATTATTAAAATTACCTTTGAGGAGGAAAATACACGTTCTTAAGAGCAGAAATGGGGAAGAATTTTTAATAATATCTGCTGTTATCTTACAAATTAATCCCAATGAATCCTGAATAAATACTTAATTCAAGAATAAATGGCCACTCTAAAGCACAGCGGCAAACACAGTTTGCGGGGATAAAATTGACCCCAAAGGAGTATTCAAATCAGCTAACCTTCTCACTTTTAAGGTCTGTCTCTTTTTGGAATGACAAGAAAGGAAAACTTGGTGTCTTAATGGACCCAACTGAAAAAAGAAAAGTTAACAGTCTGAGATTAATTTAAAAGTGTGGGATATTTTGATGGGCGACCACCTATACATTAATCCTCATTTTAAAAAAACGGGGAAAGGAGTGACCCCTTTATATTGTATAGATTACCGGAAGAGTGAACCAAGAAAGATACTGTGCACATCTTTTTAAAATTGAAAATACATGTTCAGTAAAATGGTCATTTACATTTTTGAGCATCTTTTCGCTGAACCAGCGAACGGCGATGTCGGCAGGGTCGCTGGGGGGCGAGGCACCAAAGAGCAGGGCCATTCTGCGGGATCTGCGGGGTCTCACGGTGGTGGGGACCGGAGAAGCGGCGGCAAGTGCCAGGGCAGGGGCCCCCTGAGACAGCTGGAGAAGAGCGCTAGGGGGATGCATTCGCAACCCTCCGAAGAGCGCGCGGGGGAGGGGGAAGCGGAGACGGCGGAAGCGGGGACAACAGGGCCGCCCGAGGACGCGGACTGCCTAACTGGGCGGGGCGGCCGCGGGTCGCAGGCGGATGACGCGCCGCGGCCGGCGGAGGAGCTGCCACTTCCTGGAGGCGCCGGCCGGGGCCGCTCTCAGCATTTAGCGCCGGAGCCGGGAGCCCGCGGCCGCCGCCATGTCCCATCAGACCGGCATCCAAGGTAACGGCCCCCGGAGCGGCGCGCTGGGAAGGGGCTCTCGGGAGGCCCGGGGTGAGCCGGGCAGGCTGCAGGACTAGCAGGGCTGAAGTCGGGCCCGGGGGAAGGGAGCCGATCTCGCGGGCGCCGGGCCTCTGCGCCTCTCCGAGCTTTCTGGTCCCGGGCGCTCCCGGCCTGCGTCCCTCCCAGCCCGGCCCGGCCGCCGCCACCACGTTACAGACTGACCCGAAATTTCTTAGAAGCGAAGGAAATTGGTTTCCGAGGAGGCCTGGGTGAAGGGGGGCGTGCCTTCCACCGCCCCTGATGGTAGCCCAACTTTCCCCCTTTTTATCCGGCAGGGGAGACCTGGAACCGTGGAGCCGGCTAGGGCTCCTCTTGCTGCAGAGAGACGGGCGAATTAGCCTTTCACTCTGTGAAGGAGGTTGTTAAAGATTTTGATTAAAAAGCGAAAGATCTTGGAATCTTTTTCATTTCCAATGAAGGTGCTTCCCAGACTCTTCCGCATTTTCTTCCAAAGTGGAAACAGGAATTTATGTTCTGAGAAATCCTGAGTAGGGGGTGTTTTGATCTTTCTCTTAGGTACTTCCCCAGGGAACTGAAAAGTCTGGTCTTTGTGGCTCTTCTCAATCATCCCGTGAAGGCAGTTCAATGTGCAGTTATATCTGACCTCCATTATTTCCTGGTTTGAAAATGGGCAGTCTGGAAGCGCTCACCTCATCAGAATCAAATAATATATCCCGGGGTTACTTGCGATTACTTAACGAGTGCTAATATAAGCCCACGCTCATCCTATTAATAGACAACGAATCTTTTCCCCAGAAGAACATTTACTCATGTTCCTATGAGTCTTTGATCACCCCACCGCTCTCCCTGCACACACAAACACAAGCAAACTACTCTCAAACCTAAAAACACTATTTTGTTTGTCCGAGTTAGTTAGACATTTAAATATGTTGTTACTGATTTTCATGTTTGAGTCTTACAACGATCACTACTTAAATAGTGGTTCTTGCTCTCAGTGTACAACCCAAGAGGGAAATCAGAATGAAATTGAAGCTTTAATAGGAACAGGAGGGTTATTAAATATGTATTTGCTTAGCGAACTGTAGCTTTTTGAGAAATACGAGTTAGAAAAGTATTACCAGAAGTATAAGCTTGAATGTATTTTATTGACTTTTTGTTTAATCGGGATAAGATATCTGATACTTACTGTTGTTTTTAATGTGAAAATATAAAAGTGAATTTCTTTATTATAATTTTGAAATTGGACTAGAAGAGAATGAAAGGTTCTCAACAATTTTCAACCAAGCAATAGTGGTGTTTTTTAAAATTGTAATTTGTTCATTATTGGATTTGAGTAACTTTAATTTTTTTTTTTTTAAGATTTTATTTATTTATTTGACAGACAGAGATCACAAGTAGACAGAGAGGCAGGCAGAGAGGGAGGGGGAAGCAGGCTCCCTGCCCAGCAGAGAGCCAGATGCCGGGCTCAATCCCAGGACCCTGAGCTGAAGGCACAGGCTTTAACCCACTGAGCCACCCAGGCATCCCTAACTTTAATACTTTCATTCCCAGTGTTATTTCTGCTTTGGAATTATCTAGCTAAGACAGAATTAATGTATTAATATACTTTTAAGCTATATTAATTTGTTTCTTAGCTGTGTACAGTGTCCACTGTTACATCTTCAAGTTTTACAGTTTAAATTACTGACAGTAAGGGGATGCTATGCCCTCAAGATTTTTTTTGTATTACAATTCATTTCTCCTTATTTAAGTAGCATTGGAAAGTATTAATCCATAAGTATAAAACATGGGTTTACTTGTCTTTGTCTTTTTCCACAGCAAGTGAAGATGTTAAGGATATCTTTGCCAGAGCAAGAAATGGAAAATACAGACTTCTAAAAATATCTATTGAAAATGGTTAGTTACACATTTTTAAATACTGTTTGTCCTTAGATTATTGAATGTTATATTTTTAAATGTCTAAGACATTGTCAGTAATTGGAACTATTAATTAACGTGAAGCAAGTTCAGAGTTTGCCTTTAGATAAGGTGGATCCTGTACATTTGGTCATGTCCCATCAGCCGCTGCCTACCCTCTGAATTCTGTACTTGACAGGGAAACAGAAAGATGCTTTTTTGGTGTGACATCTTCCTCTTTTACTTTTTGTCTCAGTTTCTGTACCACAATCCATTTCTAATGTTCATGCTTCCGTCTCTGGAATGGAAATCAGTAAACAGGTGATTCTCTCCCCATCTGCCCAAAAACATTACTTGAGAATTGTTACTCAGTAAAGTTAGTTTTGAAGTAGGAAGCAAAGGATTTCAAGCTCCCGTCTTTTCCACTTGATTGCATTTGTGGTGAAGAAATGATTCCCCCTTTTTTGTTTTTGGGACAAAGTTCTAGGAATGTAACAAACCGTAAATTGATCCTTTCAAAATCATTCAGTAGCAGGGAAATTGTGGGAGAATCTTTTAATTTGGCTATATTTGAATTTGGACAATTAATATTCTCACAAATGAGTATCTTAAAATATTCCACTGATCTAATTACTTAAGTACCTGGAGATAATTTTGCTTTGGAAGAATAACTTGGTCTTTTTCAAACTGGAAGTAACTTAATTTGCTTTTCATTTTCTACTTATATATTAAAAATACCAGAGTAGTTTGAAAAATATGCAGTTGTTGTAAATACATATTGCCACACTTAATAGGAATAAACATATACCGTAAAGCAGTTTATTTTAGGAATATTGAACTAAATTTTAAAAGCCATCACTTCCTAACTGACTAGTAGAGTGACTAAAATGGGAAAGTTTGTCTAACTAGGATCACTACAGAAGGAAAATCATATTCTTTCCTAAATCATTTTCTGATCTTACTTTTTGTTTTGAGGAAAATTTTTAAATAAGGAAATTATAAAGAATAAATGAAACAACAAATACTTCCATCTCTTAATAACTGCTAATGTTTTAGCATATTTACTTCAGCTTTTTTTAGACTTAATATTTTTTGATATAAGGGCGTCCCATTTAAACCGTTTCACTTCCTGACCTCCTCTTCCTGAGGCAACTATATTAGGAATTTTCATATTTCTGCAGTTCTTACATGTATCCCTAGATAGTGCTGTTTTGAGTTTTTAAGTTCATGTAAACTGATGTCTTATTCTGTGTCTTTTTTTCTGTAAACATTATTTTTGTAATTAGTTTTGACAGTTCACTATTTTTAAGTTTGAATTCATAATATATAATATAATAAGATATAATTCATCACATATTCTGTCATCATTCTCTTAGTGATGAACACTTTGGCTACTTGCAGCTTCTACTGTTTTCACATAATGCAGTGAACGTACGTGCAAAAGATTTTCTATGCAGAGAACATTCACAGTTTTACTTGATTCTGCCAAATGGCTGCACCAATTTATGCTTCTGGACAAAATGTTTTACTTGTAGCTTCATGGCCAAGTAAGCACTAAACATGGTTTTAATATTTCTTATTGCACAGTTCAGTGTTTCAGGAATTCTACCTTTGAACAATAACACATAATACATATTTTGTTGATAACTTAGAGCATAAACATTTTGGGAGATAGACTATAATCACCTATTCTTCAACTGTCCAACTCAACTATTTTTAAATATGAATAAAATTTTATCATTTGTTTCTTGTGTTTTTTAACATTTTAATCATGGTAGTCATAAAATATCCTGTTTTTTTTTCTTTAAGATTTTATTTATTTATTTGAAAGAGCAAGAGATCACAAGTCGGGGGGGTGGGGGTGGGGAGAGAGGCAGAAGGAGAAGCTAACTTCTCGCTGAGCAGGGAGGCTGGTGCAGTGCCCAGGAAACTGGGATCACAACCTGGCAGCCCTTGTCACACTCAAGGCAGCCGCTTAGCTGTCTGAGCCATCCAGGTGCCCCCTACTTCAACTCTTTGATGTGAATAATAGTAATAGGAGATAACTATATTATTAGTTTATTCTTTTCTTCATTACCATTTGGCATTTAAAACGTTTCATGTATCTTTTAAAAATTGTTCTTCGTAGAGAAACTTGTGATTGGATCATGTAGTCAGCCCTCAGATTCCTGGGATAAGGATTATGATTCCTTTGTTTTACCCCTACTGGAGGACAAACAGCCGTGCTATATATTATTCAGGTTAGATTCTCAGAATGCCCAGGGATATGAATGGATATTCATTGCCTGGTCTCCAGATCATTCTCATGTAAGTAATTTTTTTTATAACTTGTTTAACATTAAATGCTAGAATTTATTTTTTTTTCCCCTGAAATATTCCTAGGCCAAGAGAAAGTTAAGAAGCAATAGTTATTTCCCATAGAAGGGAATGATCATGAAGAAAATCCTTCTATTGGTAATGTGGAATTGGGAGTAATGTACTTAGATTCAGAAGTCTTGCCCTTCAAATGAATAGAATTATTACTGATTTTAAATTTAAATATCTTTGGCAATTATATGTAAATAACTGTGCTCTGACATTAATACTTTGAATACTTCTGAGACCTAATTGAATATTATAGTAAATATTCTTAATAGCTACCATTCAAATGATAGGCATACATGCAAATATTTCTTTTAAGAAAGTTAGCAGACTGATTCAGACTACTGGATTTGATGATTCAGTATTATAAAACTATTTCTGTTGGTTGGCAGTTAGTTACCTTTAATAGTTTTCAACAGTTGCTATTAGAGTCTTTAATAATAGTTTATATGTAGTTGTTTTCATCTTTGTATTCCTCATAGGATGGTATATGCCATACATGTGCCAAGAACATTTGATTCTTAAACAGCTTAATTAGTAACATCTGATCTAGATTTGCAAGATCAAGTGTTACTAATTAAGCTGTTTAAGAATGTAAAGTGTCAGTATCCAGGTTACTTCAAGTGATGTTTTCTTCCTCATATTGTACAGTAGTATTTTAAGTAGGTTTTTTTTTTAAATTCTTGAACTCATTGTATACTTTGAGAAGTGAGTAATTTTTAAAAATTTATTTTCCCACTTTTTGTAAAATACAACCTATTATAAATTGAAATCTACCTTAATAGATGAAGTTTTATGATGGCTATTTATGCACATATACTTCAGCGTATTGTAGCCCATGGGCCTCAGCTTTATCACAGTTTATGTTTATTGTGCTTGAAGATTTTAATACCTTCAGAAAGTAGTTTCTCTTGTAGTGATAGTTTTCATCTATAAACTGCTAAGTAAACTTTCACAACTTAACTAGGTTCGTCAGAAAATGTTGTATGCAGCAACAAGAGCAACTCTGAAAAAGGAATTTGGAGGTGGCCACATTAAAGATGAAGTATTTGGAACAGTAAAGGTACAAAACTTATATTTTTATATATGTGGATTCTACATGTTGCAATTAAACCAATATAAGAACTCCTAGGAATGGGTAATTGATATGAAATCAGACTAATGAATCTTTAAACATAAAAAGAAGAGAAAATATTACTGTATTTCATATGATAAGCAAGTTGAATAACACATGTACTAATCCTTTTAAAATAGGTTGGAATATCCTTTGTTAGTCTTGAGGAACTACACTATACCTTAGAGATCATCTAGTTTAACCATTTAGTTCAACCTTTTCATTTTAAGGATAGGGAAATAGGCTCAGAACAATGAGAGACTCCTTGAAAGAGATGGTAATTTTTAGATATTTTTGACATTTATTAGTTAAATTATGATTAAGAATTTGTTGCAAATTTATATGGTGGGGTATCTGGGTGGCTCAGGTCATGATCCCAGGGTCCTGGAATCAAGCCCCACCTCAGCTCCCTGCTCAGTGTGGACTCTGCTTCTCCCTCTCCCTCTGCTGCTTTCAAATCACAAAATTTCAATGAAAAAGTAGACTTTTTTAGAATATTTTATTCTTTTAAATAAGAGCTACAATCATTTTCTATGAATAACTATAGAGAAATTATATAAATTATTATAATAAAGAATTCAGAATCTGAATGTGTTGATTATTGAATAGTTATGAGGCAGATTTCCCCAGAATGTTAATTATAATTGTCCTCTAGACTTGAACATGACCAAGTTCATCATGTGACTGGCATCATTACCAACACACTCATACACATTTAATAATTAGAAAACTTTAGGAAATGAGTAAATACTCCCCCTTAAGATTTTTTGAAGCCTATACAATAGAGGATTTTTGAAAAATAAGAAATAGTAAAATTCTTGATACTATTTTTTAATCAAAATATTTTCTGGGGTGCCTGGGTGGCTCAGTCATTAAGCATCTGCCTTCAGCTGGGGTCATGATCCCTGGGTATTGGGATCGAGCCCCACATCTGGCTCCCTGCTCAAGTGGGAAGCCTGCTTCTTCCTCTCCCATTCTCCCTGCTTGCCTGCTTGTGTTCCCTCTCTCACTGTCTCTCTCTCTGTCAAATAAATAAATAAAATCTTAAGAAAATTTTTTTTCTGTTAAATTAATAATTTTGTTTTTCCTAGAGTGACTTCATGGATATTTTCTAGGGAATAACTAGTAACAATCCATTTCTGTGTTTACAGGAAGATGTATCATTAAATGGTTATAAAAAATACTTGGTGTCACAGTCTTCTCCTGCCCCCTTGACTGCAGCTGAGGAAGAATTACGGCAGATTAAAATTAATGAGGTAAATTACAGTTTTGATATTCTTGCAAGATTTTAAGTGTTTGAAAAGATATTTTTAATTAATAGATGTAGAGGGAACTAGAGAAGTAAGTCTGGTAGCTTGCATTTATTCTGTATAGTTTAGAGACAAGACTATGTGCTCAGTGTATTTTCAAGAAAAAAGTTAAAAGTAAATATTAAAATTTGTATGAATTTTGTAAGTAGCTTTCTCCTATATTTGTGTGTTATCAGAATAGTTAATCTTCCTGTTGGAAATACAACTTTTTTTAACTTTGTACTTCAAATACTAAATAAATGGGGAAAATGTGTGTTACCCATTTAGGGCAAAGAATTCTATCTAATGAAGTTGCTGAAGCAGTTTTGTTTTGTTATATTCTATTGTTTTATCATCTTATTTTGTTTGGTGACTAAAGAGAGTAAAATGTAAATGCTATGAGATATTTAGTATTTCCAGAAGCTCTATAAATTAACTTCAATGTGGACACTACTTGGATACATATGCATATATGGGAGATGGTTTTTTGAGTACTTGTTTAGCTCAGTTACATTAGAGTCAATAAATTTCATCCATATTATAGTTTATCATATTTCTAATGTGTTTACTGCAGCTTTTCTAGTTACAAGTTAGAATAACTACTATATTTTTACTGAGATTTTATAGGAAAGAACAAGTAGCGGAAACCACTGTTCCTAGTCTGAGTAACCAACTAGTAGGAATCAGTCTGGAAAGTGATTGAATATTATTTAATATTAACCTGATAGCAAGGATCTATCTTTATATTATTTTAACTCAAGTTATTTGAGTAAAGATTTTTATGTGATTTTTTTTTTAAAGTTTGATAGTTTGTTTTATTCCTTGCAATCAGAACCCAGAGGATCGTATTGGGGTATGCATTTGCATATGTTCTATGATGTTTTCATTATCCAGTATCATTTATGCTGTAGAATCTCCATTCGTTTCTTTTTAAAGTAAAATTTCTATTTGACTTTCTGTTGCAACACTGCAAATGAGACCCTATACTAGCTATCATTTGAGTATACAAGTCTTAAAACATGTGCATTGAAAGCTTTCTTGAAGTACTCTTCTAGTAATGAAAGCTCAAAGTCTGGAACTTCTGCAGTAGTATAATTTGTTGAGCTGTGTTGTGTCTTTGTATACTGTTCGTACTCCTTTCAATTCAATGCATGGTGTTTGTGTTGCATTTTGTCTAACAGAACAAAGTGAAGTTTGGTACATATCGTATAGATACCACACTGTTCATAAATTTTATCAAGTAAAATTTTGTAATTAAAGGTGTAATCTGAGGACACTTGCAGGAACTTACATAGTTCATTGCAAATGTGCCAAACCAAACATAGAAACAACCTCCCCTCAAAGCCCCACTAACACTGCATACTCACTCAAGTGTTCACTCCCAACATTTCATAAAGATGTGTCATGCACTCTGCATGTTGACAGAATGCTAGCAGATAGGAACAAATGTGAAGAATTACTTGGCTTTTTAAGTTCATAGTATTTTAAGTGTTAATTTTACTTACATTAAAATGGATAGAGTGGAATGGCACTTGATAGAGACTGGGTTTTCTTATCTTTGCTGTATGACACTGCTAAATGCTAAAACTTCATTAAATTAAATCTGTCATACTTAGGTACAGACTGACGTGGGTGTGGACACTAAGCATCAGACACTACAAGGAGTCGCATTTCCTATTTCTCGAGAAGCTTTTCAGGCTTTGGAACAATTAAGTAACAGACAGCTCAACTATGTGCAATTGGTAAGAGATACATGGTGATTATTATGAAATGGCTGCTGTTGCTGGTGGCTCATGGCTTATACAAGGTTTATTTTTAATGGATTTAAAATTGCGTCCTGATTTTTTAATTAATTTTCTTAAAACTATGAGACAATATGTGTTCATTATGAAAAGTCAATCCTGTGTAAGTTTCCCTTTGTCTCCTAGTTTTTTTTTAATTATAAATTTGAAATTGCTATGTATCTGTTTTAATGAATGTATTTCTTATTGACAGGAAATAGATATAAAAAATGAGATTATAATTTTGGCCAACACAACAAATACAGAACTAAAAGATTTGCCAAAGAGGATTCCCAAGGATTCAGCACGTTACCATTTCTTCCTGTATAAACATTCCCATGAAGGCGACTACTTGGAGTCCATAGGTATATAATATATTGTCTTATCATGTTATTTTCAGTTGGCTTACTGATTTTTTAGCACTGTATTATCACTTCTTGCTCAGAGGACTTACAGTTCTGTGAGGCTTAGTATTTGCTTTGATTGATGTATTGCTAATTGTATTTACTATTTTAACTTACAGTTTTTATTTATTCAATGCCTGGATACACATGCAGTATAAGAGAACGGATGCTGTATTCTAGCTGCAAGAGCCCTCTGCTAGAAATTGTAGAAAGACAACTACAAATGGATGTCATTAGAAAGGTAAAATTACCTATCTATTTTTAAATGTCAGGTTTTCTTAGATCTTTATTGTCTTTTCCATGTAGTTTGTGATGTATTATGATTTATTAATGAATGTATTTTTTTCTTGTTCTCATCATAAATCGTTAGGGTCTTCTCTAAGTGCTTGAGGGTGATCTGTTATTTCTCCAGTGTCCTTATAGGTCTGTACTCTCTAATATGTAGCCATAAGCAATTATGGCTACTTAAATTTAAATTAAAATTAGGCAAAATTTAAAATTCAGTTTCTTAGTCACAGTAGCCACATTTCAGGTGTTCATTAGCTACTTGTGGCTAGTGGCTACTGTCTGTATCGGACAGTGCAGAATTTAGAGAACATTTCCATATTGCAGCAAGTTCCGTCGGACAGTGCTGCTAGAGCTACATACTTGTGTTCGTCTCAACAGTTGCTATGAATAAGGAACTGCAGTCTCTGTTTATAACTGAATCATGGATGGTTGAGAATCTAGTTGTTGAGAAAGGAGGGAATGGGCATAAACATTTGAATTTGGGGAGCTATGCTACCGATTTTATTAAATTTATTTTCTTAAATGCAAATGAGGCATGGGGAAAGATATGGTTTATTTTTGAGCCTTCAGCTCATTAAAACACAGGTCCCTAAAACTACCAGTATATTAGGTACTGAACCCTTCAAGCTTTTTAAGGTTAGCAAGGACTGGCTGACTTTTTCTACTAGAAGACCAGACAGAAATTATTCTAGGCTTTACCAGGCCACATATGGTCTTTGTTACATATTCTTGTTTATTTTATTATTTTATATTTATAACCCTTTAAAAATGTAAAACACACTCTAAATTCAGGCCAAATTTGGCCCTGTTTAGAGTGATTTCAAGTGACTCAAGTAACAAAGGGGCCGATGAGTAATGTTTCTTGAATATGTATACTGTACCAAAGCAGAACAGCCTGAGAATATAGTGGTAGCTTCTTATACATTAGATAATTGGAGAAGAAAGAGGGAACCAATTAGCAAATTATTATTGCTGATTATGTATTCATGCAGTGTACCCCCCCAAAGGTGAAAGTGAAACTATTTACATATGGTCCTTGATACTCTGCTCTCTTGCTAGAATGGGTATTATGTATTTATTTGTGAGCTTTCACACCTGAAAACTGGCTCCTTGCTTGTATTCAGTTTTGAATGTTGTCTTTTTTATATAGGATCACACCTGACTGATTCCATCTCTTACAGATCGAAATAGACAATGGGGATGAGTTGACAGCAGACTTCCTTTATGAAGAAGTACACCCAAAGCAGCATGCACATAAGCAGAGTTTTGCTAAACCGAAAGGTCCCGCAGGAAAAAGAGGAATTCGAAGACTTATTAGGGGTCCCGCTGAAAGTGAAGCCACTGCTGATTAAAATCATTATATTAAGCATTACAACACTAGTTTTTTAAAAGTCCAGCTTTTAGTACGGGAGAACTGAAATCATTCCATGTTGATACATAGTAGGGAAAAAATTGTACTTTTTGAAAAATAGCACTTTTCACTTCTGTGTGTTTTTAAAATTAAGGTTATAGAAGACTCATGATTTCTATTTTTGAGTTGATGCTAGAAAAGGGTTCGACATAGTGATGTTTAATTTTGTCACAGTTTTCACAGAGTAATAATGATTCCATACTTTACACACTTCTTAAAATTTTATACAGTTGGGCCAATTCCAGAAAGTCTAACGTCTCCAAGTAAGATACACTCCTTCCCACTATTTAGTGAGACATCAAGTTTTTTTCTTGAAGGGAGAAAGACCTTAAAATATTCATACTACTTAATGAATATGTTAAGGACCAGGTTAGATTATTTTCTCAGCTGAGAACTTAATGTGCCTAGGTAAAGATGAGAAGTTGCTGACTCTGAGAAGAAGTGCTTAGCTCTCAGGTGATGGGATCATGTCTGCAACTTTTAGAATCAGTGCTTTATTGCAGCAGTCTTTTCTATTTGACTTTTTTGGTTTTTTTAACTGGCATTAGAATCTCAGAAGATCAGTTCATTCTGAATCCTTAAAGGTACCAGATACTTTCTATACTGCAGGATTTCTGATGACACTGAAAGACATTAAACAGCTTTAGTAAATTCTCTTTCTAGTGCTTTAAAGTTTTCTTTTCAGAAGTAAGTCATTTCATTATAAGTAGTTTGAGGCTAAATACTTGGGTTCAGATTGAATATTAAATTAACATCATCAAAAAGAAAACAAAACTAAGGTCAACAATGTTGAAAAGCCTTAAACATCAAGATTGATTTTTCTCCAGAATCCCAGAACTGTATATTAATAGGCAAATTGTGTTCTTTATTATTTTTGAGGAAATACTCAGATTTAATAAAATTGTCTGAAAGTCCTAATAATCAGCCTAATATAAATTAAATACTTAAGAAACTTTTTCAATTTATATCTTATTTCAAAACACATTTAACTGTTTAAAGCTTTGCATTTTCAGTTACAACCTACATAAATTGTGAGCTTTTTTTTTTTTTTTTTTTGGATACTTGAAATAGGGAAGGAGATAGAACACTTTTTCATGTTAAATCTGATAAACCTGCTGCAAGAGCCATAACTTTGAGAGTTTTCTAAATGAACTGTGGGGATCCAGGATTTAGAATTTCTTGATCTAAAAACTTTATGCTGCATAAAACATTAGAAATGCACATTTCATAGTATAAAATATGAAACACATTTTTATACCTTATTATCTAAGGTACTATATGCACCTTTCAAAAATCCAGTGTGTGTTCAAGTAAAGCATATTAGAATAATGGGTTGACAGGATTTTTTTTTCTAGAGTTAAGAGTATTTGTGTGGGGTTTTGTTTGTTTACAAATAGACTATAATATTTAAACAAGCAAAGTAATTGGCAGTGATGTTGCACTTGTTTACTAAAGCTACACTTTAAGCTGTTCCACGGGTGCCCACATAGACACACATATACACAAATTACTGCAATGAGAATCCTAGCGCTGTGTTGCAGACAATAGCTGAAGCCTGTATTTTCAATCTGAAAGAATGTAAAACCTGTCATGAAGATATAAAATGATTTGGTGGTGAATATATTTCTGTACCATTCATGTGCAATTATAGTCTAAATTCTACTACACTACATGAAAGTAAATGGACATTCCAGAATATAGATGTGATTAACTAGTCTTAAAACTAATTATTATTAAACCAAGATTGCTGAAAATCAGTGATGCATTTGTTATAGAGTATAACTCATTGTTTACAATATGTTTTAGGTGATATCATCATAACAATAGAAGGTGATCAAAGTATTCCAGGTAAATTTATATAGCAATGAAGAATTACATGCCTTCTGTGGACATTTTATAAGTGCATTTTATATTGCAATAAATTTTTTTCTCTTTAAATTGTGTTTTGTTTTCTAGCATAAGGTTTTTTGAATGTTTGGATAATTCTGCATAATGCAATATCTGGCAATAGGCTAGAAATCTCATTGATGTATGCATTAGCTAATTCACCTATCTAAATCAAGGATTTTAAATATTTTGCAACCTAGGCAAGTTGTGCTTCATTTAGATTAGAACTTCCCTACTGCTGCAGCAATAATGAAAATGCCATGAGTTCTACCGTTCCTACTGCGATAGAAGCCCCCCTGTACAACAGGATGACCAACATACTTGAGGCTGTACTCTTCAGATACTTGCCACTCAACCAACAGATATTGAATGCATTCTCGTGTAGGATTCACTACCAGACTGATCTTTTGCTAAGCCTAAATTACAAAAGATGGGGAATAGTCCTTGAAAGGGCTTATTTTAGAAACTTAACTAGAGTTAAAAGTTCTTTAAGTTACTTCTACTCAGAACTATAATGTGCCTGAGACACATATTGTAGTTTGGTATATATCCTTTGCATACACAGCCATACATTATAAGGATGAGAGTTTCTTTTTTATTTTTTTTAATTTTTTTAAAAGATTTTATTTATTTGACACAGAGATCACAAGTAGGCAGAGAGACAGGCAGAGAGAGCGGGTGGGAAGTAGGCTCCCCGCTGAGCAGAGCCGGATGCAGGGCTTGATTCCAGGACCCTGAGATCATGACCTAAGGTGAAGGCAGAGGCTTTACCCATTGAGCCACCCAGGCGCCCTGAGAGGTTTTTTTTAATAAAAAGTACAGGCTCTGGGGCTTTATATACAGAGATTTTGATAAAATAGGTGGACCCTATTTTATCATTTATTTCATAAATGAGTCATGTGTTGCCATGACTGGGTACAGCTTGCCTTATGATATCAATTTTATTTTTCCCCATTCAGTCAACAAACTTCTTTAGTACCATGTGCTGGTATACAGTAATCGATAGATGTAACATCTCATACAGAATAAAACTAGTTCTTCACTGTTGGTTGCCCATTCTGCATGACGTGGTTCACTGCTCTCCACCTCGGTCAGCTGGCTCCAGTTCATCAGCTGTCTGCTGTACCTCTGACAGGCCGGGAACGCTGCAGCCTCAGGTGCACACTATGTACTGTCCCCTTACTGGATCACTAATCTGGGATCTGCATGTGGTTCCTACTTCATTCAGGTCTCTACTCAAGTGTCATCTCCTTAGAGAAGTCTTCCCTGCCATCCAAATCAGATTGTACGCCCTGTCCTCACCTTAATCCTGTCTTACTTTTCCTCAAAGCGCTCAGGAGTTCCTGATCCATGCATATTGTTTGTCTCCTCCACTGAAATACAATCTCAAAGGGGGAAGGGACTTGGTTTTATTCACTGTAGCGCCCTCAGCATACATAGCTGAGAACAGTGTCTAAGACAGTGGATACTTTATATGTGGAATGAATAAAAGAAAGAGAGATTCTACCTTTCCTGGGACAGTGGGGAAAGGAGCGCATCCCAACAGTGGTAGGGGTAGCTCAGAGGCTCTGGCTTTTTCAGCACTGCATCCTGGCCAAAGCAAGCATCACCGACGCTAAGAGAGCCTCTTGTCCTCTGTACCCTGGTTTCTGCCACAAGAGACTAGTAGCAACTCATTCCAGAGCAGCAAGTAAGAAACTTGCCCCCACCCCAGTGGGGGTGTTTATTCAGCAGACTGCTCTGGAAAGGCCAAGACCAGCCTCTTCAACTGCCTGTGCTGCTCTACCACCATCAGCATTTGCTAGGATTCAGCCAGGCTGTGGTTTCTGGATGCTTAATGGGAAGAGGCAAGCTATGAATGCAGGTTAAATCATTTCTTAGTTTCCAATACCAAGCTATATGGATTAAACAACATGGGTCATATCTTTGTGTGCATGTGTGTGTGATGCCACTTACTGGCTAAATGACTGAATGGTATGTATTCTGCCATACTATAAACTACCCCCAATATTCAGTGGTTTAAAACAACAGCAATCATTTTCCACAAGTCTACAGTTGGTTGACCTCTCACGTTCTCATATATCTGGGGTCATGGCAGTGGCAGTGTTGTGAGAGAGGGTAGTACCAAGGACTCTCAAGGCCCAGGCTAGGAGCTACAAACATCACTTTTGGTGTATTCTCCCGAGTAAAGCAAGTTACAAGTCCATCCTAGATCTAAGAGCTTGGGAAATAAACTACCTCCTGATGAGAAAAATTGCAAAGCCAAATTGCAAAGGGCATGTATGTAAGGAAGAGTGGACAATTGCAATTTAATACAACGAACATTAAGAAGATGTTACTTAACATTTGAGGGCATCAATTTCCTCAATAAAAAGATAATAAATAATTATTTTACTACCTTGTGAGTACTCCGATGCCTTCAAGCAGAATTTTTCCCCTAGTTTTCCTCAGGAGGAGATTTGATCTGAATTATCCCTTAAACTAGGGGTAAAATTTGGCTTGAAGGCGTCGGAGTACTCACAAAGTAGGCAAGAGATATAGACCTAGATCTAGGAAAGATAGAAATCCAAAAAGATGTACCCAGCATCTGGAGGCTGCTATTTCTCTGGGGGTAGTTGCCATTTCTGGAAGGAGCTATAAATAGGCCTGTACATGTAGTGAACATCTTTTTGTGTGCTTATTGACCATTTGTACATATTGAAGAAACTTCTATGCAGAACATTTACTCATTTTTCAACTGAGTTACTTTTTTTTTAATTGAGCTGTAGGAGTGCTTTCTATGTTCTGGGTAAAGAGATTCTTTCTTATTACATACATAACTTTCAAATACACCATTCTTTCCCCCCCCCCCAAACCACCATTATATGGAGAGTTATTTAAGTTTTTTTTTTTCATTAAGTCTAATTTATTTTTTTTTTTTTTTTTTTGGCTGCTTGTGCTTTGGGTGTCACATCTAAGAAAGTGTTGCCTCATTCAAGAAGAAACTGGTGTTTTCTTCTAAGAGTTCTGTAATTTTGCTCTTACCTTTAGATATTCCATCCATTTTTTTAAAAAGATTTTATTTATTTATT